TAAAAGAGCTTTCTATGTTAAAGGGGTGCCAACAAATAAACAGGGGCGTGATGCCCATAGGGTTTCACAGGGCACGTGCTTTGCCGTAAAAAAAAATTATGTTTTGTTTCTTGAAATACTACTAGTCACCTAGAAATTCCCAATCCCCAACCGAAAAACTAGCTACCAAAAGCAAGTTAATAGCTAGGAAAAACCACCAAAAAGTTCAAATGGGGCGTTGGGCCCCCGACCCGAACATTAAAATCATAATTTTAAAGTGTCTGGAACTCTTTTGGGGGATGCGACAAACTTTTTCCACGGACACCCCATTTTGGGGTGATTTTTATTTTTTGGGGAAAAATCTGTCTCAGGCCCCGCCAGACTCCCAAAAAATGTTCAATTGGGTTTTAGATTGGTGACTGAGCCCACCATGGTTTTGGGCTTACTATTTTACCCCATCAAACCATTCGTAACCACTGTGCCCGTGGGGGGGAATTTCACCTTAAAATAAATGACGTAAGAAAAATGAAATACTATGGGGGGCCAAAAAAAGGGCCTGCCCAGCATTTTATACATAAGTAAGCATGGGATGTTTGTTTAAACAAACTCGGGAAACCTGGGGAGGAAAATTCCCTTTAATCTTTTACCCGATTTTAGCAAAAAATGCAGAGACCATATAATTGTATTAAAAAAAGAACCACCATTCGGAGGTACAACAGCTAAAGATATGTTTAGTAGCAAAAAAATTGGCATTTTTAAAATTATTATAATATATATTATATTAATATTAAATAACATACTGTTTATTTCTAGGGGGGGCAAAATTTTTTGGGGGTTCTTGTTTTAAATTATTTTAAATTATGCTTATTCCCGCAACCCCAAATAAACAAAAATTTTTCAAATGCCGAGACCCGAGACAATTTTTTAATGCGGGCCGCGAAATCTGTCCCTATTTTCACGCACTGTGCAGCAAAATGCCCGCCCTAAACAAAAGAAAGGTTTTTTTGGGTCTAATACGACTACAAAGGGGGAAATTTTACCTTTTAAAAAACGCCTATTAATGCACTCTACACCCACTTCAACCAAAATATGCAAACTAATGCTAAAAAGTAGTGGCCTGGTTATTAATATAAAAAAAAAAATCTGAATAGCATTTTGACTTGAATATGAACAATGTGTTTGCGACGAAGAATGCGAACAGAACAAAACGCGATACCAATGTCCTATTAAAAAAAATAACGAAAAAGGCTGAAATTTTGGCTAGTTCATTTAAAAGTAAAAAAACACACAAACAAAAAAGGGAAATGGAATCCAAAAAACCAAAATGCCTATCGGAGATCGTCAGAAAATGCCTTTCCAAAAAAATAGGCCTTACACCGCTTCAAACTGGAAAAACATGCCATCATAGTTCGTAAAATTTGTATTAGCACAATACCTTTTGAGTTTAATTAAACCCCCTAATCAGTTAAAACTGCCAGCCGCCCTAACCTTTCCAATCTCATTTTCCCTTTTCAACAACGAAACCAATAGGCTACCAAAAAAACCATAATAGAATGTATCTATTCTATGTTGAAACATACCGATATGTAGCTATACTTGGGTTCTTGCATTGGAATTATATAGCATTTTGCTTATATCACGCTATACCACAATAAACATAAATGTTCAAATGCCGAGACCATTGAGTGTTTTTGACCAAGAAGTGACAGGTTGGCACGAAGTCTACGCGGTGCTATATCAGCACCAGGGACAGCGCGCTACACACTAAAGCAAGGCCGTTGAAAACCGAGGCTAGTGGCTAAGGAAGTCAATATTATGTGTTAAAATATATGTATGTATTTATATATATGTACGAATTTATTTCTGAAATATATACAGTGAGGGAAAAAAGTATTTGATCCCCTGCTGATTTTGTACGTTTGCACACTGACAAAGAAATGATCAGTCTATAATTTGAATGGTAGTTATTTGAACACTTAGGGACAGAATAACAACAACAAAATCCAGAAAAACGAATGTCAAAAATGTTAGAAATTGATTTGCATTTTAATGAGGGAATAAGTATTTGACCCCCTCTCAATCAGAAAGATTTCTGGCTCCCAGGTATCTTATACAGGTAACGATCTGAGATTAGGAGCACACTCTTAAAGGGAGTGGTCCTAATCTCAGCTTGTTACCTGTATAAAAGACACCTGTCCACAGAAGCAATCAATCAATCAGATTCCAAACTCTCCACCATGGCCAAGACCAAAGAGCTCTCCAAGGATGTCAGGGACAAGATTGTAGACCTACACAAGGCTGGAATGGACACACAAGACCATCGCCAAGCAGCTTGCTGAGAAGGTGATGTCGTGTATTGAGATTATGACGTTGTTAATGCTTTAAGTGGAACCAGGAGCCGTTAATTTTAGTATAAAGAGGGAATGTTTTAGTGTAACGCCACATACAACAACAGGAAGTGTGTTGTAAGCAGGGGAAAACTGGTTGATTGGCCAGAAGAGGGAGCCACCCATTTTTTTGGCATTTTTATAAGTAGGGCTAGACAATGAAAGGGCAGAGCGGCCATTCTGAGGCGTCGCTTCCGGATGTCAGGACATCTGTCACTTATGCTGAAGCTTGTGATATGAATAAACCTTATGATCCAAGTTCAGTATGAGCGGACTCCTTGTTCATCAGCAATAATTGCCACCATTCACCCGATACGACAAATGGCCCCCAACGTGGGGCTGGTCTGCAATACTCTTTGTTGCATTCGTTGCCGCCAAGCTAACTGGGTTTCTGAAGTGCCAGAAAAGGGTGAGTTTTCCTCACAGATTGTTAGTTGGAGCTATGTGATTGTACACTGGGAAATGTACCATACGGCCGTGCCTCGTGTGGCGTATTGCTGATAACTGGGGGTCTGGCAAATCATTAAAAAAAGTGGTAGAGCTTATGGATGTTATAGAGATGTTTTGTTTGAATAGTAAGTCAAGAACAATCGGGGCCCAAAGATATGTATACAAGTTAGGACATTGCGGGATTTGATAAGCCCTGGGAAACGAACGGGGCCCGACCGCATGGTGGGCCAAAAAATCCTGAAAACGCGTTATGGGTTTCAGGTCAGTCTTAGACGGGGGTTTGGTTGTAGATTTAGGGGGGGTTGCTTGCCTATCTTCTGTACCGACGGAATATCTGCTTGGGGGGGACCGCTCAAAAAAATATCCAGAACTCAGGGCAGCCTAAAGTTAGGACAAAGGAAAAAGAAATTTAAAAGACGCAATGTCGGGTGCATTGTTTCATGCTACATGGTGCATACAGGCTAAGGCTAAATGCTAATGCAAATGCTAATATGTGCATGCTAACATGTGACGTAGAGGTCCACTGCGAGGGGAATAAGCCTCTTAAATTTATGTTGTATGTGGATTTCGGTTATATGTTTTGTGAGCGCTGTTAAATGTTGTTTGACTATGAGGGG